TATATATATATATATATATAATATTGTTATAACTTGACCTCAACGCCAATGACTTTTTTCTATTTTTTATATATTAACGTATATTAATTACTAAATCTAAAACTTTGATTAGATCTAATTTTGCTAAATTATCAAATGACGTTTTAATTATTTCTTCCTGTAAAATTTAATCAAATTCGAATCTTAAATCTGACGTAATCTTAAAACATGTATTTTCCAATAATAATTAGAAATGATCTTTTAGTTCACCTCTGACATATATAAACATTAGAAATTCTTATGTCTTGGAATAAGTATAAAACCATTTATCAACAGCAACATTATCATTTTTGCATACATAACTTAATTATAAATTATTTAACTAGCTTTGCATTGAGAAAATTATTCTTTTGTGAAAGAACACATTTAAATTAGATAAATTTTAATAAAATTTTGGGAGATCGTCTACTTTTTTTACTAATAATTAATGTATTATACTGTTAAAAAAATTTTTGTTATAGTAAATTTTAAACAATTTTAAATAAATTATCTCGAAAGTCTTAACGTTGCTTTTATACATGTGTTTTTTCCGTTTTACCATCTTATTTTTTAATCATATCAATCGGATTTTGATCTATATTTTATGATATTTATCAATTGTGATTATTGATATCAAGAAGATAATTAGAAAATTTAAAGGAGCGATTTAAAATTTTAATGAATATATGCATAGACATTTTAATTGTCTGCTTATATCGAGAGTCGAGACATTTGTTAAGACTTTGCGGTCCGTTGATGGCACGAGTGCTATCGTGTAAGACGTTAGTATTATTGAAATACACATGCCTTATTATTATTGCATGTAATTGTTATAGATTAAGATATAAAGTAAAATTGCTTGGTAACAATTATACACATAATTAAACAGTAGATACAATTTGAACAATATATATATTTATGATGAAAAAAATGTGCAGGTTAATTTGTGGATTATAGCCATAGTTTTGTCGTAATTAGATGATGCAATTACGTAGATAGACTGGAAAGTATTAAAAGTGATTTGTATACTATATATGTGAATTGAATAGAATAAACAGATCTACAAAAAATTAGCATGCAATAAAATAATTAAATGGTTATTATTAACAAGATTAAGTATTGATGGTAATGGTTAATTATACAGAACATATAATCAATAATGTTATTGAAATAACAAATTCATAAACAATTCTTGGAAGAAGATTTTTATTTACTTACATCTATATGTACATTATTTTTTACTCATTTCCAATGAGTTTTTTCATTGTAAAAATCAATGACATAGTTGCTGCATCATTGTAGGCTACAGTTGTTTCGTTCCGCGCTGTCTTACTCTTATTAATCTCAACACTCTTATTATTTATATAAAGTTTTCGCAACATAAATGAATTTAAAAAAATTGTTTTGTATTTATGGTTATTTGCGAGACTTAACATTTATTATTATGTAACTTTCTTCTTATAAGCCTGACGATAAAAGTCACTAAATAGATATATGAAAATTATTACAATTGTTGTGAAGAAATAAGTTAAAGCTTTTGATGTTCGACAATCCATGATCAACGTTAATACTAGGTAAACTAACATTAAACCAAACTGCATCTGAAATTTGAAAGAGAATTATTAAATTTGATTTGTAGCGATGTTTCCGCGATCTGTTTACTTGATTCAATAAAAGATTAAAATAATAATTTATTAAACAAATTAAATGAATACTATTTATGACATTAATGAAAAAGAATAAGAAAAATAAATACTTATATTGCTCCTTACTTAAAAAATAACAAAACTTATAAAGTTAAGTTTCTTAGAAAAGAGAAGAAACTATTTTTTAACTTGACTGAAAAGTATTAATTAATCAAATTATATTGATACAAAAAATGAATTCTTAACATGATCAAATATTAATATTGTTATTTTTCATTTTAAAATCCTTAAAGAATCTTTTGAATCATTCTTTTTGAGTTGAAACAATTTTGACAATTTTTAAAAAATCATCTTATTTTAGTTGACATTTGGATGATATTTTATGAAATAAAGTTAGTTTATTTTTGATAGGATAATGTTCATCTATCACTCATTTATGGTAATAACTTGAAAATTACGTTTATTGAATTGTGTCACTTTTAAAGTAAGTAAACAATAAATAAAATTCTATCATAAATATATTATATACGTAAAAATTATTATTATTGAATATAATATAAAAATATATACTATTATATATATTATATTATATATACATCTTTATATACACATGGTGGCCCAGAACTAAAAAATAGATAATAATAAGGTATTAAAAACTTTACAATTTGCTTCGATTGTCAAATATGTATAATCAATCATAATTACCAACTGAATCCAAGTCATATATTTTTTCCACCAGATATATTTTCTGTATTTAGGCCCAAGTGCTGCGATGAGATAATAACTGTACATAATGATATGGACTGTGGAGTTTAAGAAACCAATAACGATGCCTTGTTCACCAGGAAGGAATTTTAAATAGCACCATGAAAAAACGGCCGTTGTAGAATGGTGAAAAACATGAAGAAAAGTAATTTGATTTTGCTTCTTTCTCAACACGAAAAATACCTTGAACAGCACAACACATTAGGAGTTATATTTTTTCTTTTACATTTAGATATTTTTAAAATAAAGTTTTTATTAATTTTTTATTTAAGTGCTTTATTCTTATATTTTATTACATTTATAATTGTTATTATGTAAATATTGTTTACGAGAGAGATGTATTCCTTGTATCATTTCTATGTTAAATATGCTTGTGTTTTAAGTATTTAAACATTTTTTTATGACACATATACGTTGATATTATGATCCTGAAGACCGTATTTAAAAAAGATTGTTAAATTTATTAAAAGTAATGTGAACAATTAGTAAATGCTTTTCCGATAACCAAGTTAAGAAAACGCTTTGTTCGTATTTCACAATATATGGTTACAATAGCTTTCCTTGAGTAAATAGTGACATAATGATGCCATTTTTAATAACGGAAGCATGATATATACATTATTGTCTTATTAAATCTTTATGAGTTAATTAACGTAAACGTTTTAATTTTTAATTTATCAAATAATTTTATTGATATAAATTTAATTAAGAACAGCTCCAAGCCAATAGAAAACACATATTGTAACATATAATACAAAAGTTCAAAGTTAACAATAAATATATAATAAAACTAAAATGACATTAAACAACATACATATATTGAGAAAAAACCTAACGTTTCGACTTCCTTCGGGTAAATATATATCATATTTTTGTAGTTATTCAAACTGCGCGCCGAAATTTTTCCGGACTTTATCTAACGTAATTAAACTACTGCAATAATATCACAAGTTAAATTAAATTGACAAAAAAAATCTAGCTTTGACCGTCATAGACCTGAATACCCTTATACTTAGGTAATATTGCTAACAACGAATTCTTAATATTGTAAATTTATTCTATTTTATATTTAGAAACCGGAATTTAAATTATGTGAAGGACATAACTAGTGTTCACTGGCTTGTTAAAGGTTTTGATTTGTCGTCAACTTCATTTATTATGTAACTTATATGATGTACATCCGAAATTTGACGATTTATACTGCATATGTTGCGTTGATGGATACGTATGAATAATTATTTGGCATAATATTCAAGATCTACTTTGCGTCGACCACATATTTATAAGATAATAGCCTTAATAATGAAGGTCTTTTTATAATTAGTTTCCGATTATGTATTTATGTTAATTTGTTTATATGTTCAGCGGCTAGTTATACATATTTTTAAATTTAAATTTGATTAAATGACCCGAAGGAGGTCGAAACGTTAGGTTTTTTCTCAATATATGTATGTTGTTTAATGTCATTTTAGTTTTATTATATATTTATTGTTAACTTTGAACTTTTGTATTATATGTTACAATATGTGTTTTCTATTGGCTTGGAGCTGTTTTTAATTAAATTTTATATTTTGATATTTATGAGCCATTATCTAATATTTATATTGATATAAATATTTACTTACCGTGTCCAGAAGTTCGATAACTTTTGCGAAAAAATACCACCAAGCGCCTCGTGATATCTGTATATTCGACATATAATATTTAGAAATATATATTATTTATTAATATAGATAAGAATTAAAATTCAATATTGTTAAAAATTTTACAAAGAAAATATTTACCTTCATTTGTACGTTCGTGTTTTGTGAATGAGGTGAAAAACGATTATCATATCCATGAACAGGCAATAAGTATTTAATATCGACGTCCAATGCCTGAAATCCATGAATATTTTGTATATGTACAGATTATTATTTATCTTAAAATATACGTGACAAACTGATAGTTTGATTAAATAAAACAAAATTGCTGCACGGAATGTTTAGATATTATGATACTTTTCCTGTTTTTAAATAATGAAATAAATTACATGGACTATAAAAAATTAAACTTACCAAAGTTGTCAACCAAATACTGAAAAGTACTTGAAATGCGTTATATCCAATCATAACGGCATTTAGCTCAAAAGCTGGTCTTTTTTCCATCATTTTTGGACCAACTTTTAAAACAAATAGCAAATACGCGCCAACAATACATAACATAGGACCTGGAGATTCCATTAAAGGCCAAGTATCTACCATTGGATCTGTTGTAAATAAATGTAATTTATTTTTGACAAATTTTCAAAAAGTATAATGTTTCTTTTATGTATGTGTTTATTTATAATAATAAATGTCTAACAGACATAATAATAAATAATGCACATTTTTTGCAATAAAATAAAACCATGATACTTTTAAAGATTTTACGTGTATTTTCTTCAGAAGTGTCAAAAGGTTTGCGGATTATCGCAGTATCGTGCTATTGCTAATATCAAACGTTTTGTAAACCTTGACGTTCACTTTATCAGAGCGAGGAGCGCACTGATACTGTATCAAACCCTTTGACACCTCTAAAAAAAGCGTAATAATTATGGTAAATCGTATTATTGGAATGTAACATAAAAATTGTTTGTTAAACACAATCTATAGAAATCAGATTGACTAACAATACTATAATAATAGAGGAAAGTCGCCGATACTGACATAGGTCTCCTAAAGTGACACCCCCTTATTTCTCAGAAACTAACTATTGCACTTTATTAATACTAATAAAATCATGATCTGTTTAGCTAATTAAAGAAGTACAAACTCATAATTCATATATTTGTGGCTTATTTCTATACCAAATCAGCTAAAAACCAATTCTATGAATCCGAGAAGAAAATTCTTACGGTGTTCTTTTGTAAATTGCGTAATTAAAATAATAGTAACTATATTATTGATAATATTATGTCATTTTAAATGTTTATAGTTTTATAAATTAGTTTTCTTTACAAAATAAAATATATCTTTATTTATAAAATAGGAATGTTGGTATTATTGCCTACTATGTCAGTTTTGGAGCCCATTTTGTCAGACGCTCATTTTTGCATAACTTACGAAAAACTTAATTATTGCAAAATTGCTAACAGTATTATAAATTGCTTATACTATCCAATTGCTTGTACTATCTAATAGAGGACACTTTTTACTTTGTATTTATGTTTTTGAAGTTGTATTTTTACCTTTTTTTTAAGAAATATTGTCTAAAAACAAAGTGGTATGTCGGTATCGGTGACCTTCATCTACTATAAAGCGTAACTCGTGATATTATTGCGATAGTTTAATAGAGTTTGTGTTTTTTCAAGACCGCAAAATTATTTCGGCGCGCATTTTAAAGGATTACATACGTGTATAAATTCATACAGAATTATATAAGTACTTAAGATCCATGCAGCTAAACTGTTTAAGGTATTGATTTTTATAGGTTGTGTTTCTTACAGATACAGTCCTATATACGATTTTATATTGATAGTTTATTAAAAACTAAATATATGAAGTGGTTCGTATTGAAATGCAAATACAAGGATAAATAGGCGGAAAAATTATTTAAAATGTCAGTTTAATAAGAAATGCATATTTCCATTTTAATGATGCAAAACTCGCGTTTTGACTTAATTGAGTTCTTTTCAGCTATTACATACACGGTTCAAACTGATGATTTTGATTTATTCCCTGGCGAAAATAAAAATTGGAGTGCAAATAAAAAGGTGTTTACGCTTCTTTTACGTTTCATCGTTTCAATTTTTGTCTCCTATAGAAGTTTCGTTTGCACTTCTGTTACTCTCCCCCCCCCCTTTATCTTCGATGTACGCTCCTATTTTTATTTTCACTATTTTGCATTCACACACACACACACACGCGCGCGCGCGCGCGCACACACCACACACACACACACACACACACAAACACACACACACACAACATATGATTAGTCGCGCAATTCACAGATTTTTTCTATTCCTCGCATAAAGTTAAAACCAATTAGATCGTATAATTAATTACAATAAAAATTAAGTTTCTTAAGTATTACAGAAAAATTGACTGTATATTGAATGTATTGAACATTATTAATGCATATGACTAATATGCAACAGCTATATTAAATAACGACAACAGCTTACTAAATCTAGTAAGCTGTTGTCGTTATTTAATTTCATTAAAAAAACGTCTGCTTTTTTATGTAAAAATAACAAATAACGTCAACTTGCCTATAGGTAGGTATATAAAAAATACCTTGTGCTATTTTAGCATAGTCATACAAATTACACAAAATTTATTTTAAATACATTTTATAATATATAATCATATGAATAGAATAATTATATATAAATATAATATATAATCATATAAATAATATTTAGAATATTTTGCAAGTCTTTAATTTAGATATTTTATTAAGAAAAATATTCTCTATAAATTGTATATTGATATATATCTTACAATAAATTTAGTACTATTTTGTTAAAAAAAACTTACCTTTGACATTTTTTAGAACTTCATTATAATTGCTAACGACAAGTTTGATAAGACTAGTCATGGTGATGTAATTGTTGATAATGTAATTTTCAGAAGCTAGAGTTGGCTCTCGATACAGATAATTTCTGTTTATCAGAAACTCTGTGTAATAATTTAGTCTGAAATATAAAAGAATATAATAACATTTTATTTTCATTTTTAAGAAATATCAAAGCCTTAAACGGTCTAGCTGAATCTTAAATGCTTGTATGATTCTTGTGTGGATTTATATAGGTACGTATGTAGTCTTCAGAAATGAGCACCGAAATGATTTTCGGTCTTGAAAACGGTAACTCTACTAAACTACCGCAGTAATATTTTAACATCTTTTATGCATATTATTGCGACTGATGAAAACTTTGTAAAGTCGAAACTAGTTTCGCGTGATTTAATGTAATTTTAACATTAAAATTATTATACAATAATAGTTTATTATATTTTAACATCTTATTATTCGCTCGTCTTTGGCCGTCATTTATAGTTAGTTATTGTGTTTTCAATGACGAGCAGGATCTGTTCATTGTTTTGATCTTAATAATGTTGAGTAACATATTAAAACCTGTAAATAATTAATTCTTATTGCGAAAAATATAACCTCGGCCGGGAATCGAACCCGGATCTCTTGCATTCCGTGCGAGCGTCAAAAAAAAATATTCTACCGATAAGCGGGGAATTACTGTTAGCATTTTCTCTAAGCAAAAAATCTTAAATGAATCAGGCGCGTGTATTTATAACACGTATTTATCTATAAAAATGAGGACACATGAGCTACGATCAAAAATAAATTCCTCTATAGAAAATTCTATCATAACTCGAATAGCCTTTTGAAATAAAAGAATATGCAAGATACTTCTTGTACATCCTCTTATTTCAAAAGGCTATTCAAATTATTATGATAGAATTTTCTATAGAGGAATTTATTTTTGATCGTAGCTCATGTGTCATTTTTGGATTACGAACGAATTCCTCTAACAAGCATATGACAATCAGGTATATAACATACAGAAAAATATCATTTTAATGCCAAGAAAAGCAATTATTCATTTTGTTTTTCTTCTTTTAAGTAACGGTTACTTTCAATAAAGAATATTTTCTTGCTAGTAGTTTTAAAATGTATTCATCCCAAGTTTTAGAAGTACTTAATATCATATA